TGCCAGATCCTGGTGATCCACAGCCTCTGGATGCACTGTACTTGCCAGATCCTGGTGATCCACAGTCTCAATGCCCTGTACCCACCAGATCCTGGTGATCCACAGCCTCTGGATTGCCCTCCCGCTTGGAGAACTGCGCTACTGGGGAGAACTGACGCGGGGAGCTCCTTTAATGAGTTGGGCATTAAATCACAGCTGGCGCTGTTTCATCGTCCCCTCCGGGCAGGAAAAACTCCAAGACCGAGATAGGACGGGAAAAGAATGAAGTGCCTCGAGGAACAGGTTTCACAGCGGTCACATGGCTCTAGTACACTACAGGTACTTTTGCTGGACAGCATTAGAGGAAATAAATACAAATTAATATAGTCTGGCGTCTGAGAAGGAAATACGCTTTTTGTCCAAAGACATTGAGAAAGTTTGCTCTGGTGTGTTGGGATGACTGCAGGAAAGCACCCTCCAAGCTATTCCATTCCTTCAGCAAGGCAGATTAAGTGTTACAGTGTTGAAGACGGTTCTTACCCAGGAATTACTCTGAGATACTTAAATCAACATCCTGTTACTGTCTGGGTCTCTTTCCCCTCTAAGGACTTGAAAAATTCCAATTTCTGCCACGGCTTTTTTTCCCATGCACATATGGAGACCCAATGCACAGGTTTGCCACGGCAGTGTTTGCTGAGAGTGGGATATCCTGGGAACCCAGATGCCTGAACTATTCCTGCCTGCAGACACTACCCTGTGGGTTTCCCTCAGAGGCCAAACTGAAGCAGGGAATTTAAAATGGGTTTTCCAACTGCTGGCTCCTGTGACACTGTACAGACTATCCCTATGAGAGGTGCTGATGGGGAAAACCACAGCTGTGGCCAGACACGGGACACAACAGCAAAGATCTCATSTGTCACCCACAGGCTGCAGACAGCRGGACTTGGCTGGTACTCATGCTTTGTGCTCTTCTTCACAGAGCTGGCATTTGGAGTCTTTTCAAATCAGTGCAACAGGAATTGCAATGCTTCTTTGGCATGAKGGTCGTGTTTCGTGTTTTCTATACCAGAGTCCAAGGTTATATTTAATGTGCCCTTTAGATGCTTACTGAGAAAGAGAGAAGCAGATGAGCAGACACACATCTCAGAAGGACTGCCGATTTCAGAGCTGGTCCTGATGATTACCAGCAAGACATAAAAATTATTTTGTCAGGGAGCAAATAATTTACAAATAAATTGCATTTCCAGTGAAGCAGATGATGACTGCCCTATACAGATACAGGCACAAGGGAGAATAACTCTGTAGAGGCACAGATCGTTGCCCATGCAATGATTTGGAGAAAGRGCATTAGAATAACACTGCAGCTCACCTGCCATCCCATCCCCAGCTTTTGCTGTTACCCAAGATGTGTGTGAGCATCTTGGTAGGAAGGCAYGTGATGAAAAGCCACTGTGGTCCTGCATTTGTAATTCTGTGTCATGGTTTGACGCCAGCCAACAATTCAGTCCCACAAAGTCACTCACTCCCCTGGTAAAAGGGGGAGAGAATCAGAAGAGTAGAMGTGAGAAAACTCATKGGTTAAGATAAAGACAGTTTCATAGCTAAAGCAAAATCTCCACACAAGAAAAGTGAAACTAGAAATTCAGTCACTGCTTTCCATAGGCAGGCAGRGGCTCARCCACCCCCAGGAGAGCAGGTGACTTGGGAAGACAAATGCGATCACTCTGAATGGCCCTCCCTTCCTCCTTTTTCCCTCACCTTTACATGMTGAGCATGGCTCCATATGTTATGGGATGTCCCTTTGGTCAGTCAGGGTCAGCTGTCTCGGCTGCATCTCCTCCCAGYTCCTTGTGCACCCCCAGCCCCATCGCTGCTGGGGTGGGGTGAGAGGCAGGAAAGGCCTTGGSYCTGTGTAAGCCCTGCTCAGCAATAACAAAAACATCCCTGTGTTATAAACACTATTTCCAGCACAAATCCAAAACACAGCCCATGCCAGCTACTGTGAAGAAAAATAACTCTAGCCCAGCCAAAATCAGCACAGCCTGGTTCTTTGAGAGGTCTCAGTTACYAAAAAGAATGTAAAAGGAGGTCCCATAACCACAATGTCCTAACCAATCCTCTTCCTTCAGCACCCAAGAGAGACACAATCATAAGGTCATGTCTTCATTCAGCAACACTGCAAATAAAACCAAATGGGTTTTATTTATTTACATCAAAATCTCTATAGCAATATACTCATTCCAGATAAACAGAYGTACAGCATGACAGAAAGGTTTTCTTGGTGTCAGGCAATTAAATCTTTATCAAGGTAAAAACCAAAGCACCAGGTAATAAATYATCATCATCAAACATTGCTGGAGGTTAGGTTTTCCTACAGAGAAATGTTTCTTTCCTACAGCTTACCAACTATATCTTTCAGGAATATGCTCTTTTAGAGTTGTCAGAGAGTAATCCAGAACGTGAATTCAGATATATAGATGAGTCTCTAAATATTGAAAATTTGTTAAAGCTGCCTGTGTCTTCATTCATTAGTTATTCAATTCACTTGGACCCGTTTTGTGTTGTTATGGAGATGTATGCACAGACATAAAGYTGTCAGATGTGCCACAGCTAATTGTGTTTGACTCCAAAGAGTCGGAAGGTCTGTCCGGTCAGCTGGATCATCCACCTGTAACTGATACCCAACCCCCCCAGATTTATACATGTTGGGAAGGTGCCCAGTAAGGAACTTGGGCCATCTGCCAGCTTGCTGATTTCTGACTGTCATACACTGAGGTCTGTGAAATTTGACTGTACTGTGCTACACAATTGCTTAAGTGCATTATCCGCCCTATGAGGCAAACAAATCAAATTTGCTGCTGCTGCTGCTGTACACTGTGTTCTACTGGGACTGTGACTTTTGATTCCAGCCTTACAGCATCAGAGTTTTCATTGAAAGAAGATGTAAAATGGAAGCTAACAAATTGTCTGCATTAAGTGACATTTTACCGTGCAGGTCATGTYTAACTGAGTCCTGTTTATCTCCTTTCTGTTGCTTATAGTCAGATCTTTAAGAAAGAAAAATACTTTGCATGGCTTTATCAAACATTTTGAATGTAGTTCATGCAAAGGTGGTCAACAAATGAYAAGCAATGTTTAATGACCATTTAAAACACATTAGTTAAAAGACAATCTTAAAGTGTTGCTTTTCCAAAGGCTCATGCAGAATTCAGAATRTGCTGAACTCAGAAACAGATATGTCATAACTGCTGTAGGAAGYGGAGGGAAAGCAAAAAGAAACAAGGTGCTTGTGGAGAAGAGGAGGCATAAATCTTGCAGAAACAACAGCCAACTCCACTCACCTTTCATGGGGTATTAATGCTGACCCTAACAGCTGGTCAGCTGGTTTTGGCTCCCCTGAAATGAAGGACCAGGGCCTGTGTCTCTCCATGTCTCCTGTGTGCCAGGAGTACTGTATTTCAGCCCCTGCAGAACAGCGGCGTCTCCTCCTCAGCTGCCCAGAGTCTGCTCGTGGACACTGCATGTGGAAAGGATCCTCCACTCCAGCTCTGCACTTTGGGCCCAGAAGTAAACAAGCATCTTGGAAGAGGTGCACTGTAGCATCTCACTGGCTGTTCACACTGTGATTTAGGGTTAACAGCTGTTAAGACAGAAGCAGCGGGCGCACGTGTTTTTGTTTGTCGTAAGGGTGTTTRAAAACAGACCTTGTAAATCTGCAAACAACAGTGGTGTTGGCAACACACTGTGCTCTGTGCAAGGGAGAACTCGCCAACCATAGCTGGAGCATGATGGTAACAGGGAGGAAGGGAATGGGGCCAGGGAAGGGGGAGATTCAATAAAAGTAAAATGTGCTCTCATGGAGCATTTTGGCTGGTTCTGTGCTACAGGAAAAGCTTTTCTTCTTTGTGGCATCAAGCATAAAACATGTTTTTGCCTATTTCAATACATGGATCAAACCTCATTGGAAAAACAGTCATTTCACGGTGGTGTAGAAAACGATGAGAACTTAAAAACATGCTGGGAGCAACATGAAACCCCAAATGAGAGAGAGGGAACGTAATCATGCAGACATCTAACTGTGAAAAGTGACTCACCTGAAAGGTAAAGAAGCTGAACAGCTCACAAGAGTCTCTAGGAGCAGAGACCAAAGGCACTCGGAKCCAGGACCCATGAGAACCTGTGAAGGGAGCACTCCTGTTTACTGAGGTTTTCCTAACTGGTGGAATAATCTCTGATGTTCCAGTATTTAGTYAGGACTACAGCTGGGGCAGGCTTGTCCCCTGTTAGAATACAGTAGGTGACAGACTGAATCARAATGTGCTTACCTCCTCAAAATTATTACTCCCTTAGCTAAGTGCAAAAAAACAGGAAGGCTCTGCTACTCCTGTCACAGCAAAGCCAAGAATTAAGGCCATTCTTCATTCTGGTTTTCATCAATACTTACTATCACATGTGCAATTCTTTTCAAAACAGGCTTCTGAATTGTCCTCTACTTGGTTTTTTAAATATTCAAATAACATTCCTAAATATCATCCTAGGTAGTTRATCCTGCYCAGGTGCAAGTGGATTAAGCACAGCGTGACATTTAAYAGTGTAACCATCATACCTCCACACTGAATGAAGCTAAATATTACCAAAATATTRCTTCTTTCCTCTGCTTGTATTGAGTTGTCTTGAGAACTACGCAGGCTTTTACTTCAAATACTGACAACATAGTTTGTGTCATTCAATAAGCACWAATGTTGAGTTTTGAAATAACCAGAAATGGAAGAGGGTGACAGCAGCATATATTCTGCAATGCAGAATCACAGCACCCCAGCTTCCCAGTGCATGTAATGGGCCTGTACAGAAGGAAGATGGCAAAGCAGGCAGAGATCACACACAGAACACACTTCTACATGACACTGGAATGCCAAAACCAAAGATTACACACAGCTGAGGCTTGAATTCAATGCTGGACATGGTTTTGAATATATGTGTCTTCTTGTGGAGCCAGTGCAGTCCATGCTAAGTCAACATGAGGATTCTCYGAAATTTCCATATGCTTTGGGCCAGGACCTGCAAGTTCCCAGGTTCACTTGTAAACACAAGATTTCATGAAATCGTCTGCATTACAAAATGATGCTCCAGGATTTCACTTTGCATGTGGGCCCTGGGTTTTTTTTTTGTTTCATACAAACATGTAATTTAGTTTGAATATTGCTTCAGTTTTGGTATTACAGAAGTGGCACAGATTTACAATGCTGAATGCTTATTATCCTATTCTTATTTGCTCTTAGGATGAAGTAGTAACCCTTTCCATATAAGCAGGTAGTGGTTGGATTAACAATAGGTAAGTAAAGATGAGAACAGCAGCAACAAGAAATAAAAATTGCTGGTAAGAACAATAATGCCACAGACTGGGCCATACATGAGCTGTCTTCTGTATGACTTCTACTTTGAGGAATTTCTGCTGATTTTTGCCTTCAAACCCATGAAYACAAAGTAGTAGCTGCTTTCAGAAAGCACTCTCATTTTCTATGTCAGTCCTAGAAGATCCTTTCTCTTGATAGTTCAGAAAGAAAGGCTTGGCCAAGCAAGAAGCTACTCCTACACATCAGGCTTACCTAAAGAAACATAATTATCAGAATCTCTTAAAGGATGCTTGAAGGAAATAACCCCCCTTGGAAAACCCTGTTTTCCAAGTCTGCCCCCAAAGACCCCAGCACTGCTGGGGAATCCATCAGGCTCTCACAGGGCTGATTACAAACACCAGGCAAATATCCTCTATTAGGAAYGCTGTTTAATACATTGCCCCTGAAGCAGCAGTTGTTTTCTTTAAGATGCTCTGCTCAGTTCTGCTAAAGCTGCCTTAAATCCCAGATGTCCATAGCTAATAAGAAAGGTAATCCAAATCAGAACAAATACATAACTGCAAAGCTTTGGAGGACAGCAGAGGTTCTTTACATTAATGACACTTCCAGGATTCACCACCATTAATGGCTTTACATCCCTATTGATCATAAAGACTGAATACGGGGGTTGAAAGGCAAATTATGTGATGTTCCAGACACTTGAGATGTAAGATTAAAAAAAAAAAAAAAAAAAAAAAAAAAAAAAAAAAAAAAAGAATGCAGGCTTTTGGCACTTAGCTAAGAGTTGTGCTTGCTATCTCTTTTAAAGGAGAACCACAAGTGACAGGCATTTTCTTGGGGTGGGGGGATGAAGGGTAGATGAATGAGAAATAATCCCCCCATTCCTCGGGGCTGCGATAGAGCAGCCAATGCGAGCACGGCCAGCTCCTCCACCCCGCGGGATGCCGRTGCCAGCTCACCACCAAGAGGTGTSTCTTTGCTCATGTGGAAAATCGCCTGGCAGACAGCGAGCTTCTCTCCGTGCTCCAGGGCTGTTGGACAGTGGGGAACTGCGCATGACCTGGCAGAGCTGGAAACAAGTGCCTTTCATATTGCAAGGCTGAGCCGCATCCTGCAGGATACTTAATAGCATGCGTCGATCTCTAAAGAACAGTGGTTGCTAAGGAAACCACTTAAAAGCCTGATTTAAAATATTTGCCACATAATCAAAAGCCACAGTCATTTCCTCCTATCAAATTACAGCAACTCTTCAGAGATCATTAGGAATATTCTTTAATCATTAAGGCAGAAAKGGCCACGTGGTTCTTGTCAGCAGGCAGATGACTGAATTCTGATCTGGAATATGATTTTTGTAAAACTGAGGCTATGCCACTAAAACAAAATCAGCTGTGCTACTGYGCAGCCATCCCAAAATCAGATTTTTCAGCTGCACATTCCTAATACGAAGTTATCATGGATGGCATCCTCATATTTTGAAGTATCACAACTTCTAAATTATGATACTTCCCAACAGAATCACAGATTCATTTAGGYAGGAAAAGTTCAAGGAGGCTTTCAATTTACACAGCCAACATGCTATAAATGGAGAATGCCAAAGGCACAATGTGAAGGGTTAGGAACATTCTGTTCTAACTCACTTTTCCTTGCATTTAAGAGGACATGTTCTTCACTAGGGGCACATAAAGCTCAGCCAAACCTTTTCCATTCTGTTTCCAAATAAACTGCTTGAATGCTCAAAAGCTATTTAAAGTGTCAGGATAAACAATTCAACCATTTTCTTTCACTTTCAGAAAACACAGTGTATTGGGTTAGTTAACTTGCCTCGTAGTAGCCCTCAGCGATGTGGTTTGTGTTTGTAGCTGGAGCAGTATCGAGAACACAGCAGTGGTTTGGCTATTGCTGAGCAGTGCTGGCACTGCTCCCTGAGGAGAGGGAGGGACAGTGGCTTCCCRGGCACTTGGTGGCTGCTCAAGGTCAACCCACCACACCTGGCATCACAGAGGAATGAAAGCTGACTTTGGTTTTCATGACTACAGCCAATACCCTAGGCATGCTCTTGATCTGACCTTCCCAGAAAATGCATTGTTTAGATACAGGAGTTTATTTTCCATCTTCACCWGGACAGAAGCAAGTCATCTGAATTGAGAGGAATCCTTTGGGAACAGATGTACATCTGTTCTGTACATCTCCTGCTTTTCCCATGAGTTCAGAGCTGGTTCAGAGCCAGCAGTTTGATCCAGGCAGTCCTGGGAATGTGCTTCAGTTACACCACAGCCCTCCTGTTTCAGAACGCCTTCTCTCTCTGCATTAAGTCATGAGTCCCAAATAAGACAGAAACTTATTGAGCAAGATAACCAGAGGAAACAAGATTACCACGTCCTAAAGTCTAAGTGCAGAAGAGTTGTCACATCACCCATAAAAGTATTAGAGCATGAGTCTGAGAWTTGGGTGTTGCACATCATTTGAGCAGTGTCAAAACCAATACGGTTTCACATTTTTATTTCTTGTTTCTAAACAGAATCCCTATTATCTTGYTTAGTCATTGCTTAGTTCAGTGGTAACACTATGATTTCTTATGCAAGGCTGGCAAGAGTGGCAAGAGTGGCAAAATGTGCATTTCCCTGGAAGAAGAAAGCTGCTTTTCAGCCACACCCTGGGGACTGCAGGCAGTCCTTGCCAGCAAGGAGAAGCTTGGGCTGCTCCACCAGGGCTGGGGATAAGGGGATGGTGAGGCAGGCAGGGACCTGACTGACAGCTCCATGGCACCTGAACGAGGAGAGCCAGGCCAGCTGGGGACAGAAACAGGGGTCAGCTGCAGTGCAAGGACCACCAAGCCTGACCACAGAGACAAGCCAGGTTTGAGGTCAAGACAAAAGATCTAGCAGCCAGGATCAGTGAGATTCAAGGCCAGGCAGGCCACACCCACAGCGTAGCTCAGGCAAGGGCCTGAACTTAAATTTAGCACCTGATCCAAGGAAAAGAGATGCCCGAGGTGGTTTCCTGCAGCTCTTTTCCCATCACCAACGTCCACACTGACTGGACTATCCAGAGCTGTCCACAAGCACAGGTAGCCCAATGGCCATGGCAGGGGTTGCCTTTCCCACAGGAAAAATTGCACCTGGTTTTGAAGGGCTGCCTTTGAATGGTGCTGTGAGAAATTACACCTGTTATTTCAAAGATGGTGTTAAAATAGTGGSCACTTCCTTTCACCAGAGCCACAGGATGTTTCCTGGTCTCTTCTGATATGCCGGCAGACCTAGATTGTACAGAYAGATAATTAGCCAGGAGTGTACTGTAAGGAAAAATTCTTCACTTATGAGGATAGAAAGCATGGTTTAAAGGCAAATTCTCCCACCTTTAACATCATGTGCTGGTGAGAAGGACATGGTGTTCAGAACCAGCTTGCCCTGCTTTTATAGCTTGGTCTGAAATCTGATGCGTAGAGATTACAACAGGCATATCATTTTCCCCCACCCAAGAATTCCAGCTGCTGTGTGTTCCGTGACAATGCTGGGCAGGACAGCACATGGACACACAACCTGCCCCTGCCCCCAGCAGTTTGGTTTGTTTTCCAGTCACACAAGACACATGATTARGCAGTTAGAATCTGAAGATGGAAGAATGCAGGAAAGATGAGAGAAAAAGTGAAGAGGCAGCAAGAGAGAAGTAATCACAAAAAATATGTGCAAATCATGAATWAAAAGGAGAACAAAATAAGGTRGAATAKGYGGCAAGGGAGGGAAAGGTCAGGAACATGATGAAGCAGCAGCAGTAAGACAGAAGAGAAAAAGAGAGAGAATCTTGCAGGAGAAGAAATTCCTTGTTAGGAGTGCTRGAATTTAGAAAACTAACTCATCCTTTAGGGGAAAAAAAAAGAAAAAAAACATATGAGGGGAAAGTCCAAATTAACTGCTTGCAGTCAAAACCAAATATTGCATAGTAYAAGTTCCTACCTTTTTTGTTCCTAAATTTTTTGCCTCCTGTCCTCCAAGTGCTGTCAGAGGCCCCTCAAAGTGCTGCACTGCAGCCCATTCTGCCTGCCCTGTGCCCTGACCTGCTCCTTTGCATGTTCTTGCCATTGTGCCCTGGCCTCATCTTCAAGCCTGCTGCCTCCTCACAAAGCTATTCTTATGCTCACTGCCTCATTTTTTCCTGCTGCCTCTCCAGATGCCTCCCACTTGCCTTCCAAAGCCTTGTAAAGATAAGAGCAGCTCCACTGCACATAAAAACTCAACATGAAACATTTATCATTTCCATGTTGGCCTTTCACTGCCAACTTCATGGGACAGAAATTGYCTCCCAGCACTTGTACCTCCATATCATGTAGGACCCTGACACTTCTGGGAAGACCCTGCTGATGCTGCTCTGTAAACAGCAATACCTGTTTTACAGATAATATGCCAGGTCTTTTCTCAATAGATCACTGTGCTAGCTCAGATAGACCCTGTATGAATCCTTTGTGCTCAGAACAGCTGCTCTTTGCCCAGTGCCAGGAGAGTTAGCAGGAGAGCATGATTTTTCCTGTCTCAGTGAAGAGAAATGGGAAGCAAAGAACAACCTGCAGTGACAGATGGCACTGTTGCTGTCCCCAGAATACTCACAGGATCAAGTATCATTCTAAATGCTGAGTGGGACTCCACAACATCTGGAAAACAGAACAATCTGGCAGGCGTTGCCATGCTCACCTAGAAGAAGCCCTTCTTCTACAAGTAGAGCTGTAGTGTGAGAGTTTTGAGAGGTTTTACTGCTGCTTTTCTGGCCAGAAATCGCCACAGCAATGAGAAACCTCATTCCACCAAAACAAAAGCTTCCTTACCTCACAAATATCTAGGATAAACCCGACAATGACCTCCTTAAGCTCCTATGGAGATTGTGCTGGCTCTCGTTTTTCTCTTCAGGTGTCTGTTTTCAAGGACTCTGGTCTCTGGCAGACAGCACGAGGTGGAATGGACAGTGTGTTTCAAAGGCTTTTGTAATCAGAGCCATCTGATTTGCCAAATTGCGTCAAAGGTCAGAGACTGTTGGTAGCACAGCACGGGGCAAATGATCCCTTTAAACTCCTGATTGGACACGGGTCACGTCAGGAGGCAGCAGGGCTTTCCTCATGGAAACAGCTGCCTCGGAGCAGTGCACATAACTGCGCTTTCAATCTTTCGGGTAATTTTTCCATAAGGGCATCACTGCTGCTTCCAGAGGCCTCCAGGGCAGCCCATGCTGCAGGCACAGCCTGGCAGTCCGGGCTCTCAGGTTCCACCTGCCGAATCCAGGGCACGGAAGGCGGCTGTAGCCAGGCTGGGGTCGGGCTTTTCTCCCAGGCAGCCAGCGACAGGAGGAGAGGATGCGGGATAAAGCTGCGCCTGGAGAGGGTTAGGCTGGACCTGTGGAGGGCCGGGAGYTGGACCCGATCACCCCTGTGGGTCCTTTCCAACTCAGTAGACTCGGTGATTCTGTGACATTAGGAAGAATTTCCTCACAGAAAAGGTGACCGGACTTAGGAACGGGTTGCCCAAGGGAGGTGATGAAGGTGTTTAAGGAACGACTGGACGTGGTACTTAGTGCCGTGGTCTGGTTGACACGATGGTGCTCGGTCACGGTTTGGACTCGAGAATCTGGGCGATCTTTTCCAGCCTAAGAGATTCCGTGACTTTGTGACCCCGGGGCTGTGCAGGATCCCCCCGGCCACAGCCATCGGCACCTCCCCGCCTCAGCCCCAGGCCCGTGTGAGGGGAGGCGAGGGGCGGTGCGGGCCCGGCGGGCGGGGCGGGGCGGGGGCGGTGCGGGAGGCTCGGCCGGCGCGGCTGCCGCCATCGGGGCCCATTGGCCGGGCGGGCTCGGCGGGCGGGGCCGCGCTGCAGCCTCAGCCGGGGAGGTGCCGCTCTCGCACCGCTGGGGCGCTGCCGCCGCCGGGCCCGGGCGCGGGAGGAGGTAAGGGCTGTCTGCCTGGGGCGGGGGGCGAGGGACGGGAGAGATGGCGGCGGCCGCGCTCGGAAGCGGCTCCTTCCCCTCGCTCCGCGCTCCTTTCTCCAGCCGCGGCTGCCGGGCGGGAAGGGCCGCGGCAGGGCCGCCGCTGTCCCCGCGGGGCTGGGGATGGCAGGGAGCGGGGCTGGGCACGGCCGGCATTCCGCACGGCGCGGCTTTGATGTGCACGGAATAAACGCGGCCTGCGCTGAGTCGTGATCATAAACTGCAGCGGAGATGTCTTTAAATTGCTGCAGGCCGTGTGCAGTTTGCTGTCCAGRCAGCGAGACGAGATTAGATTGATTGTCAAGGATTTATTAAAAACAAACCARCAACCCACCTGATTTAATAGGAGCTTAACATCCAGAACCGCACGGTCCTGCCCACATCCGTGGGGTTTGGGAAGGCATGCGAGGCAAGTGCACTTGGAGTTGTACATTCCTTTTYACATACGTCGGATCCCCTGGGGCGGCAAGCATGCCTTCGCTTTCTTCCGGGTTTCCTTTTTTTYCCCCTTGTCTTCTGGCAGCCTGGAAAATTCCCATCTGCCGTGCAGCAGCCAGCCTGTAAAACGACAGTTTTAATCACTCACCTCATCCCGCTTTTGGCGTTGTGTTTCTCTGCCTGTCTTTAGGAGCTGTTTCTCTCCTGATGAACAGGATCAGATGGAGTGCCTGAAAGTAGATTTCCTTCTAGAACTGTCCATCTCGGACTTTGCCTGTGACACCAGTGCCCTCCTTTTCAATACCTCGGTCTCGTTTTGCCCAGATGGGTCTGCCCTGTGTTTGCAGACATATCAGCTGGGAAAGCACAGACTGTTGTGTGCCCAGAACTGTTTACATAACAAACTAAAGAGCAGGTTCCTACTCCTGACTTGCAGAGACACTTGGAAGGCAAAACTGTCGTCACTATTTTTACTTGCCTGATGAGAGTTAAATTTGATAGGGAACAAATGCATTAATTAGCTTGTGAGTTTGGACTGATCCTCTGGTTCATGCTGTGGATACTGGGGAGTCTAAATATAGCTAGCATTTCATGTTCYCTTCTCAAGCTGGCAGAAGTGAAAGGGAGCGTGGGTTTTGCTAATTGGCAGGCTTTCAGTTTGGTCGTGCTGTGTTTCACAAAAGGAAGTTAATGTGCTGTTGTTACAAATCAAGGATAGCAGGAAAGAAAAAGCAGCTCCAGAAAGTAAATCAGTTTTTGAATACCTGTAAGCACACTAAAATAAGGGTGTGATATTGCCACCACTCTGCAGGAAATAGGAAAATCTTAAAATTTCAAGTGGTTCCATATTCAGCACACATATTCACTGTGTGCAACAACAGTGATTTCCAGAACATTCAGCCTTTTATCAAGTCARCAGTTAACCTCTAAGTGCTAAGTAAAGAAACCTTTCCTCTTTCAACCTAAGAATTAGGTTAAGGTAAACCCACAGCATCTAAAGCATCATGCTCTGAGCTAGGAACAATACGTTTGTTGAAGGTCTCCCAAAAGCTCTGTCACTGCCATTTTTTACTAAAGCAAACCCTTACTAAGCTATCTTTGACTGCATGTTTTTTGCAAGTGCGCAGATTTTTATCTAGCAATTTAAAAACATAGTTTTAATAAATATTTGAGATCTAGAGATGCAGTTGTGATTGGCTTGGGGAAAGTATGACAGCAAGGCACTCCAGCCTTGAATTAAAGTGTCTCTGGGGTACAGGTGTGCTCTTTGCTGCTCGATTACGTCACACCACCCTGCTGCTGTCTATCTCTTTTTTTTTTTTTTTTCTTTTTTTTTTTTTTTTTTTTTTTTTTTTTTTGTTTTTTTTTTTTTTTTTTTTTTTGCCATAAGCCTGGGAATTTTTAGATCCTGTGTTATGTCATATGATACCTTTCACTCATAATTTTGCCTCAGCAAACTTTGAGCAATTAAGGTAGAAATCCCTCACTGGGTAGTTAGCAATGATCTGTGTGGTCCAGTTCAAATTACTCCGGTGCAACAACATGTAATTACTACAAATTGCATCTCAGCCTGTTGGACTTGGATCAAGTTTTGTGTTACTCTACAAAATGTCAAATAGGCCAATTTTTCTTCATCTTTCAGCATGCTAGATATGTCATCATTAGTGAATTTTTGTCTATSCTGAGTCAAGTGGCATATTTGAATTTATCTGGACTGGAAAAAGAGTCTGAGAAGCCAGCAGAAGAACTTAGCCCATTTCAGGATTAGGTGGCAGAGAACTTCAGGCCAGACAACACAGCAAATTGCTGCATGGGGTTTTTCGAGGGGGAAGTTTGTGTGTGTAGTTGTGGCTGTCCATGGATACACTCTTCGTGGTCATTCTTAGCATAAAAAAAAATCACAACGTCACAGCTGTGTGTTAAAAGGTATTGTTTGAGACCTCCATAAGTGTGACAGAACCAAATATAATGTGCAGATAAAAAACTCAAAATCCTAGCAAATATATTTCTCCTCCCTTTCCCCCTGGGAGTCACAGTGCAGATATCTCAGCAGGTGTTTGAGGACATACGTGATAAGCTCATTTTCACAATCTTACCTCATATTTCCACGTATTCATATTTTAGCAGTATCAGCACTCTCATTTGCTCCATTACAACCTCTTCAGCCTTTGAAAATTCGGGATGCAGGGGGCCTGCAGAAGTGCCTTCCCTTGCTCTGTGTGCAGGGCTGGGGTTAGATGTGGGCTGCTGCTGTGTGTGGGATACTTTCCCGGTGAGTCACGCARATCCCCCTGCAGTCGCTTCCAGCGAATGCTGTGCTCCGCATGATTAGCAGGCTCTCAGGGTGACTTTGTTTCCTGAATGATGCAACTGAAAATTCCCTTTCCTTTGCTTCTTCTTTCCTGATCTGTTTTCCCTTTGTTCTCCAAGACATTCCAGCAGCTGCTCATCTTTYGCTCCTGGTCTTTATTTCCTACGAATCTCTGCGAAGACAAGTTATGTCCACAGCCACTTTAATTAATCTGGTACGGAATGGAGGGTTCCAAGTAAGAAGGAGAGCCGTGCTCACATCCCGCTTCCTGCAAGACGAGAAGCGYCCCSCAGCCGTCTGCTCCATCTCCACCTSCGAGCGCCGCGCCTCCCGCTTCGACTCCGACGGCAGCGGGAAGCCAACCACATGGGACACCTTCGGCATCTGGGACAATCGCATCGATGAGCCCATTCTCCTCCCACCCAGCATAAAGTACGGGAAGCCGATCCCCAAAGTGAGCCTGAGCAAAGTGGGCTGCGCCAGCCACATCGGGAAGCGGAAGGAAAATGAAGATCGCTTCGGTTATGCTCAGCTGACGGAGGATATCCTGTACTTCGCAGTGTACGATGGGCACGGTGGGGCAGCAGCAGCAGATTTCTGTGATAAGTACATGGAAAAATATATTAAGTAAGTGCTCATCAAAGGAATGTGTGTCAAATTACAACAGAGATTGCTTCCTTAGGGAGTCGGTGGGTTGTACATCGTAGCTAATCTCAGGTTATGTAGCCACYGCTCCTTATGGGACAGCRGGAGCGCYGGGTGGAACAGATGTGCTAYGARTTACTTACTCTGTGTRGTGGAAAGGTCTTGGAACACAGGGAGAGTGTGAACTGGCTGTTTTCAAACAGGCTCTCTGTGACTGCTGACTTGTAGTTTGCTTACACTCTTCCGTATCTATCACAACCCTGGATGCTGGAAAAGGAATTTAGATATTTGCARAATTACAGGATTATGCTTTCAATACACGTAGCTAGTAAAATCACATTACCTTTTCACWCAAGTTCAGCATCATTCCATGGGTGAAGGGAGGAGATAAGACTGTGAAACAGATTGATCAGGATTTGTGTTTCTTGGAAAGAAGTTTAATTTTTTTGTTTGTTTCCAGGGAATTTCTTGCTGAGGAGGAGAACTTGGAAAATGTTTTGAGCAAAGCTTTTCTAGAAATAAACAAAGCATATGAAAGGCATGCTAATCTCTCCGCTGATGGTAGGTAAAAAAATATTCTACTCATATACATATAGAGAATAAAGTTTGTCTTATTTGCTCAGTAATTTTGCAGTAAAATGTCCAGAAAAGTGCTTGAAAACAATTTTACTTAACACAGGATTTTGCTCTGGTCACTTGCTGCAAATGAAATGATTATGCTTTACCTCCTAAAAATGAAATAACTACTTAAAGTCTCAGTCAAATTTATGAATCCAAATGTTAGCAAAATTATCAATGGATTTCTCCTAATGTGATTATGTCAAGGGTAGTTAAGGTAGCAAACAGTGATTAGAACTTGCAAGGACCATAATTTTACTAGTAAAAAATGTAGAGGGGGGTGATTTTGTTCCATCTTTTTTGGGGGGGATTGGCATTTTTACATGTTTGTTTGTTTGTTTGTTTTAAAGCTGTTATTCCTGTGGTTTAAAAGCAACTGTGTTAAAGTTCCCCTTTCTAACTTGGCTGCTGCACCTGAGGAGAAATGTAAGCCAAAATTAATGCAATTGATATTGCTTCTGCACAAACAGAATCACAGGAGTAGCTGAGTGGGAAAGGGAAAAAAGCAKTGAAGAGGAAAACAAGTTTGGCAGTGGTAAGGCTGTGGCAAAGCTGGCACCAGCCTTTTAAACTCCCAGTTAATCCTGTCTGTTAATGAAGTTTTTGTATATCTATCTAGAGACTGAGTACATCTGAAGTTCCAGTTGCAGTGACTGGAGCTTGTAGAGAGTAATTTAGGAAGAGAGAAATGTCTGTCCCAGTTCTGTCACAGGAGCTTTCTCAGCCATGAGATACAATTTTGAGAGTCAATTTAGCCAGTTTAAAAAAAAGAAAAAAAACAAAAAACAAACAAATCCAGTTAAAAAACCTTACCAATCCACAACAGAAAAAAAAAAAACCCTCCAATACACAAAACCCCCAACCAACCAACTGAAAAAACTGTCCCAGTGCTGGTGCAGGTGCTGGCAAAATGACTGAGGTTGTTCCAGAAGAGCAGAAACTGTAAAAGTCATCTCTGCAAGGAAGATTGGAAACCAAGAAGCCCTRTAGGGACTGAAGTGATACTGCATTTTCAAGCTGCTTTTCTTAAGCAGTAAATGAATGCCATCAAATAATGGAGTGACCTCCTGCACTTTAACTGCCACATGAATTTAGGTAAATTCAAATGCAGGACAGGTAGCCTGACTGTTGCAGGACTACCTTTTACCTTAGCCTGCACTAGGGATCAGGAAAAAAGTCTTAAGTTCTGAGATGCAGCCCTTAAAAATGGGGGTTTAAATTTATGAAGTTCATTTTGCCACTGTATTTCATGTGGTAAAAAACACCAGTCACTTTTGACCTATGGGTTGAGTTGTAGCTGAGCTCCTGAGAGACACATCAGCAGAGCAGATGTGCTTTTTATMCCAGAGCCTCTTTGCAAATATATTTTCTTACAAGCCCAAATCCAAGACAGCATTTGAATACTAGTTTGTTACACGTTAGTTTGTGTGCTTCCCTGGATCAGTACCTTTAACTTTCAGATCTAGCTGTCCCCCTCCCTACCCCCTTTTGTGAGTAGGACAGCTCTTGGTTTGGCTCATGGTAGTGACCTCTGCTCTGTGTCAGAACAGCTCCTTGAGGACAAGGATCTATTATTCTGAAAACAGTTTCCAATAATTTTGTACGTGAGACTTACAGGATTGGGTCACAACAATATTTGACAGGCAAAYTGTGCAAGCAAGCATAGCATTTTAAAACTGCTTATAGGTTTTCTTCATACCATTTAACTAAGTGGTGCTGCTTATTACCAGAAAACTTAKGCAGTGGTTACCAGGATACTGCACAAGCCCCCTGAATTAAAAAAAAAGCAAAATACAGGTTAAAAGGATTATTGGAGATCCACAGGGGCCATGCTCTGGCAGGCACTCAGTGTTTCTCAGGTAGGCTGAGCACCTGCAMACTCTTGCAGAAGCCTGAGGGATCTTTAAGAGCCCTGGCTGGAAATCAAGCTCTAAGGCAAAGAATGGAGCAACAGGGTGCAAAGTCAAGTTTRGATTTCTGAACAGATTAAACTTCTTGCATATCAGTTGTTAAAATAACTCAATACTATGTTGACTGCTTTGTGTGGATATTTTTGTTGTTGCTGATGTTTTGAAAGTTACCTAAAAGTTCAGTGCTTGGCATATGTCATGGTTAGAAACCTGCTTTGAAAGTCATTCAGTTTGCCAGCAAAATTTCTGATTAACTGTGGCTATTCTGGATGTGACAGTCAAGACAGTTGCTAGAGTATATTGAAGATRGTGGTTGATTGTGTAACATGCTGAATCTGGGTTACACTGGATGCTCCCCATGACTGACCTCCTTCTGAAACCTGGCCATAGCTRAGGAAGTGGTAAATAATAGCTTTGACTTGTTCCAGTAGATGACCCTTCCAGGACTCAGTCCTTTCACTGTCTACAAAAAACCAGTGCACATTCAGGATGTCCAGATTTTTATTAACATGCAACCAAGTTTTAAAACCTTGGGTGTTTTAAGGAAACTAAACCCTGGGRCAAATCCCTGTAGCCAAAATGGTGTGTTTGAGGCATTGTTTACAGAGCTATTTAACAGGTAACAACCTCACATTAGGCATAAATTTAACAGGACTAGAGTTGTGCCTTATTGGAGAYCCCAGCTATGTGTTCAAGGGTGTGGCCCTTTGTATGTCACTTAAAAATGTTACAATATTTGAAACTACAGATGGAAAATACACAGCATGATAGTTCCTGAGCTCTCAGTAATAAAAATATGGTAATATATACATGTTCCAGGTACTGCTGCTGTGTCTGGCATGCAGTTCACCAGTGCTAYTGGCTCTGGAGATTGGTCCAGTAACCCCTCTGATGGTTGTTTCACACAAAAGCGTAAGAAACTTGCTGTAGGCAGGTCTGGGATAATCTGTYCTCTGCCTAAATCCTGTGTAATCATTAGCAGCTTAAAGCTATGCCTGAGCTCTGAAGCTTGGTCTTTGATACCTCTTCAAAAAGGCATTTTCATTCCCTTCCATGCATAAAATGTAGGCAGTCACTTTCAAATCACTGCTAAATTTAGGTATAGAACATAGYAAAGGAAGCGCATGTCCAACAAATGTCATTACCTATGGGACAACTGCCAGACATGAGCAGAATTTTCTGCTATTTTTTTACCAGTCATAAAAACTGAAATTTGAAAGCTGAATAGCTTTGCTCAACAAGGATAGAAATAAGAAATTAAATTCTGTGCTTGAGGAAATTTGARCATTTCCCTGAAGAAAGGTAAGACAAACTTTCTCCTGGCCTGCTGGAGTCCTACCAGCTATTGTTACTACTTCTGTTCACTATGAGCCATTACTCAGAGAAAACAACAGGGAGTTTGTCCATCTACCTCATGTTCTATGTATGCAGCTTTAATCACATTGGACACTCACTTCTGGAATAGCCATTTTATTAAAACATAGCCTGGTATTAAYTGGTCTAGCCATGTTTGAAAGGAATCTTACTCTTGAATCTTATTATGCTGAGCAAACAACAGAAGTTATTTGAAAATAATTAAATTTTAAAAGTAATGTTTGTTTTGTTGGGTTTTTTTAAGTTACCATTCAAAAGAAAGATTTTTATTTYTTTAAATATGTTAACCTGCAACACTGAGGAAAAGGGAGAGCTGCAGAAATTGTACTTGAATATTTAATAAATCTATCAACATTGTAAAGGCAGCTTTTTTATCCAAGGGCCCTGATTATTACCCAAACAATTTAGAAGAGATTAATTACAATATTAAAGGGATGTTTATTTTATGTATTTTTCCATGGGTCAGAACAATTCATATTCTTCTATTCAGTGCCTTAGCACTGATTTGAACTCCCCATTTGGTGTTACAGATATAAAAATTAACTTGAAGGAACAGATGTTCCTTGGAGTAACTACTCTTGCCATATATGAGACAGCTGACCCTCTAGCACTAATAAAATTCTTTGTTTGATTTATTGGTTGGTTTCTTACCTCCATAGGGGAAACAAAATTTAGATTTAATTTGGGCTGAATTTAAAACTGGTTTTGTCACACAGTCTTAACAAGAAGGTGACATGGTGACAATTCCCCAGAAATACCAAGGCTGACTTACCAGGGCCAAAGATGCACGTGCTTCCTACATGACCTGCACAAGGCAGTGTAGGCAAACCCAAGAGTGACTGACTAAATCCCCTGCTCTGCAGCCCTTATTCTTTCATCTCCAGTGTTGCAGGTGTATTTTGTTTGAACAAAGTCCCTGGGTGAATTTCCTATTTGCCTCTGTGTGCGTGTTATTTGTGGCAGACACTGTACCTGGTCAGCAGCTCTAGAACTGGAGGCCCTGGACACTTTAAGCTGGGCTTCAGTGGAAAGAGAGATCTGCTTAATTTTGTCCCAGGTGAAGGAGTCCGGCGGTTCCTAGCCTGGACTACTGGAAGGTTCCCACATCCTCTTTGTCACATTAGTTGAGATGACTTGCAGTAGAAGTTGTCCAGTGAGTGTTAAGAACCTATTGAAAGATCTTAGTTTTATAGTGATACTGTTAGGAAAACAAAATAAACTCTTTAATTGTTAAAACCAATATATGTGCTGATGTAGCATATTTTGTGTTATTAAATAAACTAGCAGCAGTTGTAATTAAGCTTTAGAAATGTTATTCCATCTTCACTCCTGTGGTTTTGAGCTCTGCTAGAAATCACATAATAAATCTGGCTTCATCCATGTTCTTCGATCCCTAACCAGACCATGAACAGGGTCCAAGCAAGAGACTGTGAGCAGCATGTGTTTTCTTCTGGGAGGGCTATTTAACTAATAAACATATAAAGTTCAAATCCCAATGTCCATCACCACAATTCTGGACAATACCTTGTTCTTTAGTACCAGCCCTTGGTTTTGARATAGCAACTCTTTACTTTGGGAGTTTGCACTTGAAAGATGAAGATTCACTGAAGTGTCTAAATGTTTCCAGTCTTCTGGAAAGGAAGATTATGGATTTAACTTTTTATGTGTTTCTCAGCTTAGTTCCAAAACCATGGAATGAAATGGGAAAGTAGCAGCAGTTCTGCACTAATTTTAAAATCTAAATGAAGTGTATTTTCTGTAAAATAAAATGGTAGTTTTATGTAGGTTCTTTATTTCACTTGTTTTAACCRTTGGCTAAAACAGGTATTTTACTGGGTCTACTAAAATTTCTAATTGCACTGATACTTTTTAGTATCTTACTTCCATAAAGTGCCTCAAAGTGAGCCTGCACTGGGCTAGTCCTTGCTTCAAATGGGAAACAGGATGTTGTGCCTACCTGAAGCTGTCACATCCAGTTTCCAGTGTCCCAGCCTGCATGGCCCTAACGCAGCCCGAGCTGTGACCTCAGTCACCACGGCTGATGSTCACCCCTGACCTGCTGGTTCAGTGTTCAGCTAAACCCAGTCCTTGCTGCAGTAATAATACCTGTTTTAAATAATAACACCAGCTTAGTTAACACTGTTTTGTGAGGGTTTGTGTTTGTTTTTTTTTGCTTCATTGATTTGCTGCTTCCAGTGCGCAACAAGGCTCAATGCATCTTCCAGGGCTTGGTCACTGAAGTTTACTCCCAGCCTCGTTTGACTTACAGAGTGCTGAGACCTCACAGGGTTGGGAAAGGAGGCTGTCAAGACCCCAGAGCTCTTGAATTTCTTTTGCTGTCTGTTGGCAGCTGGTCAGTTTTTGGGGCTGGCTGGCATTCCTTGGGATCAAATGCACAATCCTGTCYCAGATCCATCTCGCATCTCCGGGGTCAGGGCTGCAGGGCCAGAGGCAGGAGCACATGTAGGTGTAGCTGATCTCTGCAGAAGCAGTGGTGGAAACATACTTTCATGTTAGTGACATGAAAACAGAAATATAACTGAATTCACTTTCCTAAGCCCAAAACTCATCTTGCATTGGCTTGYTTTGAAAAACTGAAATGAGTGGAAAAGCCCAGAAGGCAGTGACCTACAGGGGGGCTTTCAAGGGGATTTGCATTGGCTGGGAATACAAATGTGTTCCAGGCAGTAGCTGGTCCTGCCCAGACTTKAGTGTAATAGCTCAAGTCTGCAGGGACTTTCCAGGCATCTCTCACTGGGTTACCTCTGCAGCATTTACAGGAAGGGAAGATAAAAACTCTAAAAGAAACTCATCCTTTCAAAAAGCAAAGAAAACAAGGAAAGTTGGGCAGTTCTGGCATTTTCTTTGCTGCAGGTGATATTACAGATCTTTTTTTTTTTTTTCTGAAATAGGCACTTCCATTTCTCTTTCTTAAGCATTTCTTTTTGTTTGTCCAGACCATTATAAAAATTGAAATGAGAAGCCCTTAAATCTACTTRCATGAGTGACTCCAGCCAGGTCCCTGAGAGCAGTCAGCCAACTCAGCTCACTCCCTTGCACTGTAGGAGAAGRGGGGCAGCACCAGGGCTCTGTTTGACCCTCTGGGCACTCACAGTACACCCCTGTCAGATGATCCCAGCAGAGCCCTGCCCAGACAGCCACTGCCACCTGCATCAGTTTGCAGGCACAAGGCAAGGCTGAATCCCAGAATCCACCTTCAGCTTCCTGCTGCGACCTCCAACAAGCTGACAGGGTGTGGAGAGAGCAGCATTCCTTCCTGCAAAAAGCCAGGAAGCCTGTTGGCTCAATCCTCCTTCCGTGGGGGAAGCAGAGGGGGAGTATAACAGCTTTTACAGCAATAGGAGGATGCCACTGACTGATCTACTGCTTTCCCTGTGGGGATCTATATGGAATTACAATTACTGTAACTATAATTATAGATTTCTATGTAACTGCMTGCTTCACCACATAACAGAAAAAGCCATCACCTTTATGGTGACCTAGCTGTGCAGTCACTGCCCAGGGATAAGGACAATAACCCTGTTACTCGAAATGAGCTCGTGGGACTGAAAAAGACTCATTGCTACAAACTGAAAGGAAGCCACTGTACCCTGTACCACTTTTATCCCACTTGCCCTGYTTGCATGGAGCCATGTTGTTGCACAGAAACACTTAATCCTTCTCACCTCCCTTCTTTTCCCTCAGTCCTACATGCATGCATGTTTGCTCTATTTTTCTTTACTTTTTTTTTTT